ATATATATATACACACACACACACACAAACAAACAAACAAACAAACACATAGAGAAACGGAGAGAGAAAGAGAGAGAGAGAGAAAGAGAGCGAAAGCTTCATGAACATTTCCAGACAACAGAAAGTATCGCCGATGAAGGAGAACCTCTACTTTACAAATACAGTTTTAGCTTACAGTAAAGTGAGAGTGAAATTCTTTAGGGAAAAAAAGACAAAAACAAAACAAAACAAAAAACAAAACTAAACCAAACCAAAAAACAACAAAATTGAAAGTTTTACTGTCTCAGCACTCCGCCTGTCCCTGTCTCCCAGCTCTGTGGAGAGAACCCGTCTCCCAGTTCTGTGGCGAGAGAGGCTCACCTGTCTGCGGGGTGGGACGTATGACGTCAGGCCAGGAGTTGAGGGAGAGTACACCCGAACTACCCAGCCTCACAGGTGGCGCTGCCCGGGCCTGACGTAGCGAGACCTGGGAGGGTGAGCGTGCCAATACGCACGTTGTAGCCAAGCTCCGACACCACATATTTCTCCACTATATCGGATAAAAGTCATGCGATATTTCATGGGTGGGGAGGGAGGGGGCGGGGTACAACAGAGGAAAGTCGAGAGTCGAGAATCGAGAAACGCTAGTTCCGGTAACACTGGGTTGCTTTCCGCACTTCGCTACCTACTTTAGAATTACGAAGTTCTGTCATTTTTATTTGGTCGTTTTCGTTTACTCGCACTACTAGATCTTGTCAAAAACAAAATGTTCTATCCGCTCTATGAAAATTGTTTTATTATTTATTGGATTCGTTATCAAGACATTCAAAGAATCGCATTCGAAAAAGCTTGACATGTCATGAAAATTTTTGCTTCAGAATGTTCAAAACTAGGCACTGAGCAGACAGAACTTTGTAATTTCAAGGTAGTGACTGACTTGTTTGTATGGAGATGCACATTTTTTTCATCTTCTAAGCCTTTCCGGTGTTTGAAGGAGCCGTATTTGCGTCCGCTAGCACTCTTAGTTTAGTTGTAGTAAGGTTTTACGGCGCTCGCAACTGCATGAGGTCATATGAGCGCCAAGGGGTGGATGTCAACAGAGAAGTACAAACATGGAATCAGGGAGAGAGAGAGAGAGAGGGGGGGGAG